AGGTAAAGCCCTGTATGTCTCTGCCCAGACATTAAGAAAAAGTACATTTGTGACAGGGCAAGCCTATGCACAGTCTCCTCCATCTCATATTCTTGCTGACACCATTTCAGGTTTGACTACAAGTTGATTTCTAATGGACAATCTCAGGGAGAAATTACCCAGTTCTACTCTGTGAACTGGAGGCCAAGATGCCCCTGCTAATTTATCTTGGCTTCTGCTAAACTGTCTGGGGGTGCAGAACTCCCCCTTCATGTAACTGCTTATCTTGGCTTCTGTTAAACTGCCTGCTTTGGCAAAAACTCCACCTGCAGCTGCTGAGCAAGATGACAGAATGTCATTTTTGCTTTTAATAGCCCCTTGCTCTAAATGCTTGGAGCTACACTTGGATCCCAAATACCTGATTGTAATCCCAGCCAACTGGAATAAAGACTTTATCAGTTAGCTAAAACTGTGTATGAGTGATCTTCTCTGGTTGGCTTGCCATAAAACAACAAAAATAGACAAAATCGAAACCACGTATAAAATATATGAGAAAATTTTCATACATGTGGAAAAGTTGGAAGGGCCAAAAACACACTTCTGTATTTTCACCGGGATTCAAGATTGTTAGAAATTTACCATGTTGATCCTGTTTTTCTGTAATATGGCTATTGGTGCTATATCATTAAGAATATGTTTTAGAGCTGGGTGTTGTGGTGCATTCCTGGAACCCAGTTCTTGGAAAACTGAGGCAGGAGGATTAAAAGTTGGAGACAAGCCTAGCTGCATTGTGACTTCAAGTTCAGCTTTGGTTGTATAGAGACCATTCTCAAAACAAAACAAAAAACCCAAAAAGGTTCTGGACATAACATTTTCTCCCTTTCTACATGAGCTAAGATGGCCTGCCATTTATACTACAGAACCACAATTACAGTAATGATCCAGAATCTTACAACTTTCAGAAAATTGTCATTGTTCTCCAAACTGTCATGTTTAAAAATGCATATATTCTACTGAGAATGTTACTATAGATAACATATTTGGTCTTGCTTTAGCCTTTATTAAAATGTCAATGCTGATTTATCCCAAGCCCTTGTGTGTGGTAGGCATGAGACTAGCCACCCAGCTCCATTCTCAGTCCTTGGCCTTTGTATCTTCTCTCCAAGGGAAGTCAGGTTCAGATAAAACATTTTGGGTAAGAAGACATTTTAGATTGTGTTTCTTGTAGCATGTCCAGAAACACTTAAATATTGGCTATCATATTAGTTAAGATGGTGGCTGCCAGAGCTCCACTAAAAAGTCTAGCTTGTGGATAAGTAAACTGTGGAAAGATGATTACCTCCAAATATTTATAGATATGGATACTTTAATCATTGGGCAAATATAAATAAAAATTGAAATCAACTTCTGAATGAATAGCTAATAACATAATTCAACTTGTTTGGTGTAACTGATGCTATACTCAGTACTAAATTAGTACCATTCAGTACAATCAGGAAGCCAAGACTGTTTTGACTGGAACCTTGATGTTGGCACTTTAGCCCATAATACATGCATTGTCCTAAGCACATCAGCAATTGGCAAAGTTGAAAGAAGTTATTTAAGAAGCTACAGAAGAAACAGATTGAATCCTAAACCAACATAAAGATGCCATCAGCAGTAAATGATAGTATATAGATTCATGTTTTAAGCCATTCTTTTTATTTATTTACTTACGTATGTGACAGAGTTTCTCTGTGCACCATGTGGCTGTCCTGGAACTCGCTCTACATAGATCAGGCTAGCATCAAACAGAGATCCGCCTGCCTCTGCCTCCCAAGTGCTGTTTTAAAGGTGTGTGCCAACACCTGGTGACATTTTTAATATTTGGGTATGAGTGTCTTGCCTGCATATATATAAGTGCACCTTCTGTATGCCTAGTGCCTGAGGGGGCAGAAGATGATACCAGATCCCCCTGGAACTGGAGCTAAGACAATTGTGAGACACCATATGGCTGATGGAGACTGAACATGGGT